GTGGTGACCGGTAGACAGTGACTTCCGCCACCCTGGTCACTCTTTCTTTCTTCTTTTACCCGATTAGGGTTAGGGTTACATAGAGGCAACCTAGCTCTGATACCATTGTTATGATCGATGATTATCTCTCTGTGTGTAACCGTAGATCCTACCATTGTTAGGATCGATGATTACCTCTCTGTGTGTAACCGTAGATCCTACCATTGTTAGGATCGATGATTACCTCTCTGTGTGTAACCGTAGATACGGGAAGGCTCCTCGCCTTTCTCTGTTGCGGCGCATCGACAAGCGTGGACGCCGATGCCGCGGTGTAGTAGACGTCGTAGTGGCGAGGAGGTGAAGTCCAGTGGCCCGGTGTAGACCTGCAGGGGCGACGGTGGTGCGGTGGGACATCCCGTCACTGGCAGCACTTCTTTAGGATCGGATTAGGGTTTTCTGTAGGCGGGATGGCGGCTCCAGTGAACCTCGTCGTCCGAGCCTTGATCCGCACCTTCCTTTTATGTGTGCCGTGCGACAGGGGCCCACCAACCGTATTAGGGTTGGGCTCCCCCGATCAGGGAGCAGAGACAAGGGCCCAATAGACCGTTGGACCTATTGGTGGAGATCAACTAACAGCTCGCCCTCGTCGATCTCCTCCCACCGGCCACCGCAGTCCGATTGCTTCGACGGTGAGCACCTACTGGCCCTCCTCCACCTTCCCCAGGCTTCTATTTCCCTTCTCTCCTCCCGGCCGTGCTCCTCACGAGCCACGCCGTACAGCTATGGCGGACGGACGCGAGGAGCACGACGTCCGTGTCCTGTCCCTGTGTCTCTCTATCTCCGTGTTATTACTCCTCCAATAGCCAATCCCAAATAAAGCCACTAATCCCTCCGTAACCTCCTGAGGGCCCGTGGCCAAGAGCCGAAGCCCATTTATCCTGTGTACACCACTCCCAGCCAATCATGAGCACTGTTCCTTTTTGACCAAATAAACAGCCACCTTCTAAAATCAATATATCCACCATCCAAATTCCGATTCAATCGATTCTTGTTCCTTAATTCATCTAAAATCGATATCTATCTCTCGTACAAATTTCATAATTTTTGGAGCTCAATTGAATTTATGTGAATATTTACTTGTGTCTGGTTGCTTGTTTGGTTGTCTACGCGTCGTTAGCCGATGGAGTGACTGAGGAGGCGAACGACGATCTCGGTGGCCAGGACGAGTTTGGAGGCGAGTACCACGAGTTTGACGCCAAGGATCTGAACTGCCAGCAGAAGTTTGCCGGTGCACCGACGGAGGCAAGTCTAGCCTATTCCTCTTTGATGCATCTTGATCCTATTTTTAAACACAACTCGTAGAAGCCGTTTTAAAATATTGCATGTATGATTATACGTACGAAATATTTTCGCTGCTTAGCTAAAACCCGTTTGAATAGCCATCCTTGAAATGATATGACCTGATAATTGCCTTGCTCAACTTAAGAATAAATATCACGACATGACAGAATACTGTTATTTAGTATGCTTAGGACTTATACTTATCACGGATACTCATTACTATGTTTTCTCAAATATAATGATTTCTAAAGAAAACTGTGTGAGTTGTAAGATAAATTGTGGGTATCATGAAGGGTTAATAAACAAGTTATAGGCGGTGATTACCCTAGAGATGGATCGGTGTTCCTTTTGTAGGATGCCGTGGTGTTGGGACTTGTACCTTTTGTGGTTAAGCATGAAGATATCCGCCTTGTCTCGATTAAGGACTGAGTTGATGATTCATCTTGCCTAACTCATTTATGGTACAACCACTCGCCTTGCATGGGAAATGCTTAGCCTAAATCCCTCTAGTTGGTATGGCAATCACCTGGAGGCAGGTGTGCAACGGGACACTAAGAGATATATGTGGAAATTGAGGAATTGTATGAAACGTAATCAGCATTGTAAATTATTGTATTATGAGATGTGGCCTTAGTGTTCCCGTGGTGAGCGCCAGGACTTTAGCTATGGAGGGTAATGGCTTTGATGGATCCATGCTTGCACTACGGTGTTAAGTTACAGTACTCTACTTGTGGTGAAAATGTACAACCTCTGTAGAGTGTAAAATCTATCTAGATAGCCGTGTCCACGGTCTTGGACGGGTTATGGTTTGGTTTCAACAACTAGATGGGTTGGGATGAGTGGAAACTTGAGAGTGAGTGTAATTTTGAAAATAAATGGTTGTCTGCCATGTGTTGCGGGAATAGAGGGTTCAGCACCACCTAAAATTGTGACCAACCCCTTTTTCAGAAATACTAATATATATGAAAAACATATGTCTTTTGCAAAGGTATTTATAAAATGAAACCCTACATATGTCAAAAGGTAGCTTTATGCAAATAAACCAAGCCTTATCCTTGTTATATCCATATGCATATATTGTTATCCCATTCCGTAGGGTAAGGTTGGATTTGCTGAGTACTTTGTACTCACCCTTGCTTTGTTGAACAGAGGAAAATCCGAACTTCAACCCTGATGTGGCGTACGAATAAGGTCGTGTCTACACCCAACTAAGCCTGTGGCATTGGGATTCGCCAGATGTTTGATGTTTCCTTTTGTTTCTAGGTCTGTTAGACCTATATTATGTTCTGGTTACTTCTAATCGTGGTATGACTTTATTGTCCACGCTTGTCAAGACTAGTGCACTAAGACTTAATTGATGTAATAAATGTGTTACTAGCCTCCTGGGACTAGTATTTGTATCACATTTGAGTTCCTAGATAACTAGGTGCGCTTCAACGGGCCTGCCCACCGAAGTCCCCGGCGCCCCGTTGAGGCCGCCGGCGCCACGAACGCGTGCCTGCAGGCAAAGCCTCTGAGCCACCGTCACCGCGCAGAGGCCATCGCCCAAAGCGCCAGTCACCGCCCAAACACAGATCCGACGAGAGGGAGGCCGGACCTGGCCCTAGGCTGCTCGGATCTGGCACGCCGGCCGACATACCCGCCGGGGATGCTCGAGAATAGCCGACGACTTGCTAGCCGGAGCTGGCCGCCAGCACCGGCCACGCCCAGGCCAGCCACGCATCCGAGCGGCACCTCCGAACCGCGAGCGCCGGCCAGGATGTGTCGCACGCCCACATGTCACGAAGGGCGGAGGCGGCCTTCGCGTAAGCGGACGCGGCATGCACGCGGTGGGCGGCTATGCCGGTGCGAGCCAGGCACCGACTGGCACGAACGCTTCGCGTGGCCCAGCCAGGCCGCCTACACCACCGGCCATGGATAGCCGCCGGCCCGTCCTCGAAGGGCGCAGGTCGCCGGCCAGACCCAGATCTGGCCACCCGTCGTGAAATGAGCTGCCGGCCGCCGGAGGGTACCTGAGCAGGGGCACGGGAAGGTGGATGCGCCAGATCCGTTGACGGCAGGCCCAGATCTGCCGCCTGGCTGGCCGGCCGCGCCTCCTCGCCGGAGATGGAGTTGGTATGGGGTGGGGGGAGGTTGGAGAAGAGAGGGGGAGGGAGTGGGGCTGTGGCTGAGCTCCCTTTTTTCGGGCCTGCCGTTGGCTGCCGCCGCCGCACGCAAAGGGCGGCGACGGCGGTCAGAGTGGAGGCGGGGAGGGGGCGCCTAGAGCGCAGACGAGGTCGCCCCCGAGTTGCCCGTTGCGGACGCTCAGGGGAAGGGACGACTGGCTTCATACAATCTTAAAAAACAAAATAGCTTGTTCACAAAAAAGAATAATAGATGTTCACACAAAAAAAAAGCTCCCCGCGAAGCAAAGGTTGCACGAGGTTCAATGATTTAGGAAGAAGCGGCCTAGGTCATCGAGCAACACTTGTATGTAGATATGTTTCTGAATTTACCCGTCGACATAAGTCATATATGATTACTTCGAATACGCTTATATGGGTGGACTTTGTGAATATGTGTTGCGTTTATTAGAGTGAATATGTGTGCATGTTTGTGAGCATGTGTGTTTGTATTGTGATTCGCAAACTCCATTTCAACGGCACAGATCGTACTTAGCCCAATCGTACACGAAGCAGGTCAGCACAGATCGGAAGAAATGAACATGGCAGACTGTTGTTATTTTGGCAATAGCTGCTGTAGAGATCCAACATGTTCGCCCGTGTAGAGTGCATTGCATGCGTGCAACAAGAACCATAGCCGAATAAGTCCAACCGATCTAGCTGATCTTTGATCAATTAGGCTTCGGTCGTTTGCCTTTTTATGACTTCCGATGAAAAGGCCCCAAACTTCCAAGAGTCGATATGGGGACAACAAGGCTCAGACAACTGATGAGTAGCAAAGATCTAGATGTGTCTAGAGTGTTCTATATTTTGAAAGGCAATGTTAAGTACATTAGTCACCATAATATCAACGTTATAAAGGGACACTAACTTGTCCAAGGGTTGATCTAGAAAAAACAAGTTAGGACAACATCTTTCTTAAGTTTTCTATCCAAGGGAAGCCAAAATATAGTAAGATATCTTTTTAGTTTCTTACATTAACGTACTTTTTGACGCTTTTCGTGTCTAATTTAAACTAATAGATAATGTTTCTTTGTCCATAAAGATTTTCATTACTACAAGCTTTATGATTGTAAGCATCACACTTTTTTCTGGCAAAACCAGTAGATAGATAACAAATCCAAATAAACCAAAAACTCTCCATTATATAAAAGGAAGTAGATGTCTAAACAACTTCTATATCATAACATGCATCATTTTCTTACCATTTATACTTAGAGTAAAGCATAACTTCCTAGCTAACCTTATCTTATCACATAGTAAATTCAGATAGAATAATAGTTTTGTTTGGTTCAATCTATTCTCTAATATCTAATTTTACTAATAGAAATAAATGATTATGAAAAAGTTCCCTTGTGATAGAAACCATGTTCCGATAGTATGGCCAATAGAAAGAAAATTTCATTGCATGAACATGAAAATAAAAACAAAGTACATTAACAAAATTTTGTTTGATAATTTCTATCGGTGTTACACTTGTCACAATATCTAAAGTTGATGATTCTACTTCTCATCAAATTATTCACCTAGCCAAGCCCACACAATGTCTTTCAGTGCTGGTCTCATATCTTGGTTCATAAAATTTTGAAACTCAAGGCTACCACCGTTGGTTTTCTTAATCTCCACTACATGAAAATTTGGTGTGATTTGAAATATCTCAACATTTATGGACATCACACCTTTTATTCTGGATTTGGAAACTTCCATCTTCAATAATCCACCATTTTTCTTTATAACCTCCAGTCCTAAACTCTTTGCAACTTCCATGAGCTTTGTGACAATTGTAGAAGATGTGTTGGTAGATGTAAATTTAGACTCCTCCTTGTTTGAGTTATTCTCAAAAATACCTGAGAGATCAAACCCATTGGAAAGAGAGATGATATCAAAAGCATTCAAATTAGTAAGTTTCTCTGCAGCTGAATTACACTCAACTATATTGCTATTTAAGGAATCCAAAGTCAAATCCACGTCAATAGGCATATCATCTCTTGTTGTATTCATAGTAGAATCAAACAATCTTGCATCAAGACCAATTCTAAACCAAGGATGTTTCATTATTTCTTCAATAGAGATTCGTCTATTAGGGTTTGGATGAAGGATACGCCGCAAAAGCTTTCGGACATCTGAAGAAAACCAACTTGGCCATCTGAGTTCTGCTTTGCAAATTTTCTTATACATGTCGATCAAGTTCTTGTCTTGGAAAGGAAGATAGCCTGCCAACAACACATAGAGGATCACTCCACAAGCCCATATGTCAGCTTTTGCACCATCATACCCTTTTCTATTAATTATTTCTGGAGCAACATATGCAGGAGTCCCACATATGGTGTGGAGTAACCCATCTTTTCTCTTGCAGTCCGGAAGTGCACTCAAACCAAAGTCTGAGATCTTTAAGTTGCGACTTCCGTCAAGAAGAAGATTTTCGGGTTTTAGATCACGATGATAAACTTGTCTATTGTGGCAAAAGTCAATAGCACTAATCAATTGTTGGAAATATGTACGAGCAACATCTTCTTTTAACCTTCCGCATTGAATCTTGTTGAACAACTCTCCTCCCTTGACATACTCTATCACAAAATATATCTTTGTTTTGGTAGCCATCACCTCATACAATTGGACAATGTTTGGATGTTTTACCAATTTCATCACTGAAATCTCTCGAATTATTTGATCCATAAGGCCACACTTCAAGATCTTATCTTTGTCAATCACCTTGATAGCAACACTTTCTGAAGTCTTAACATTGCGAGCATGGTAAACTTTGGCAAAACTCCCTTTTCCAAGTAACTTTCCCATCTCATATCTCTGCATTAGAATATTCTCTTTCTCTACCATCTTCTCAGTGTTCAATATACAGGATAAAAGCAATGACTTTCAAACTTGAATAAGTTGGTGATGAGCAGCAATGATGTAGAGGATGCTGGTAACTGTAAGTGACCAATAATTTCAGCCGTCTCCACCTAGAAAGTAACTGGAGACGATGGTTGAGCTACCACTCGGAGCCCCATTATGTGTGTGCACATGAGGCAATTGTTGTGCATATATTTGTACTCCAGTGTCATCAAGATCAAGCAAAGTACAATTATGTTTCGGTATCCTGCCAATTCCCAAGCAAGGAACTCTATCATGCAACCACATCTTTCTGCATCCCTTGATATTTTCGACAATACTGCCAATAGAAAATACAAATATTAGACACAAAATTGTTTAGTACTAACTAAAAAGAATTTTAAAAAAGAAAAAGGAGAATGTTTCCGTTCATATGAATACTACCTCTTGTATTTGTTTTGAGTCATGAAGAAGAAATAAGTTCATTTAACAAGAATTTTAATAAACTTTAGGGTCTTTTAACCCAAAATTATTACATAAAAAATGTGTACATGAATATCAAAATTGAATTTATGTGTGTCGGTTTACCAGATAAAAAGAAAAGCTAAGGTTGCTTGATAGAGAACCTATATAAGCTCGATCCGCATCATATATTCCACAAAGACTAAGAATAGATAACAATTTGTTAATGCAAGAAAGTCCATACATGGATGTCTGAAATAACCAGTATACATGAGAGAACGACCCTAGCTTCTAGTAATTGTGTGGTTTGTTCATGAGGAGGCCAACTAGTGCATTACTATTGCAACGCAAGAAAAGAAAATACCCATCCTACTCTTAAAAGAATGCATTGATGCGCCGAGAGGTAGATTGATCTAAAATCACAGGGCAATCCAACTACAACTAGGCAACTACATGTTCACATCTCTAGGCACGGGCAATAACTCCTGATGGTAATCACACGGAATAGTTCGTGTATATCTGTACAGAGCAGGCCTAAATCAAGAGGCTGAAAGAGTATATTGGTGTTTTAGAACCAAGAGCAGGTGCAGGATTCGCCAATATACTTCACTGATGAGACTGAATCAGTATAACATATGAACGGGCAAACATGCAGATCCCAGAAAACTAAAGATCCAAAGCCATGTTGATAAGACAGATTCTTGCGGATGCAACAAAATCGAGTTGGAAAGTGGTGTGCACCGGTGGTACCTGATCCCGGCGATCCGGGTGAAGCGGAAGAGCCTCTCCCCAAGTCAAGTCTCCTCTTCACAAAGATTCAGAGGTAAGATGGTTACAGGAGCGCGGTGCATGAGAAGAAAGCGGAGACGCGATTCATCTGCAGACTCAATCAGGTTAGCCAAAGCATGCGCACTGTAAGAGAGACCTCTTTATAGGCGGAGGCACTGAGCTTCGTTGCCAGTAGCAATGGCCAACGATCTCGGGCTGCCTGGGAGAGTATTGGTTTGGACATCACGAGTGCCCGTGGGGCCATCAGAACAGAAGCATTGGTTTCTCAGCTGGGCCCATTGTTTACTTTGTTTTTTTTTACAACAATTGTTTACTTTGTTGTTTGTTGGATTGGAGTTGGATATTGGACTAGGCAGTGGAGCACTAGGGGGCTGCTGCCTGCTGGTGCCTGAGACTGACGGTGGAGTGGGGTGGAGCACTTGTTTACTTTCCCTTTCTCAAAAAGAAAAAAACTTGTTTATTTTCCCCTCATGATCAATTAGAGTAATCATATTTCTCGTGATTCGTAATGGTGTTCGGTACTGCCGCGGTGGTGTACAGCTCGCACGTTTCCACTGGGTGATGCTCTGATTTGGTTTTTGGGTGCCTCGCTCGACCTCGAGCCCCACCACCCGCGGATTACCTCGTTTCATCGGGAAAGTGTGTTGCCGGTAGCACTAGCAGCAGGGAAGAGCGAGTCACACTTATATAATAGTGAGCTCTTTATTATTAATATATAATTTATTTATCTCTCTCGTAAAGTTTCTTGTTTCTTGTGTCTAAGCCAGTTATAAGTTTAGACGCCGCTTCTCTTTTCTTTCCTCTTCTCTCTCCTACACCTCAGCATTTAGCCGGTTTAGACCGTCTCCAATAATCATTACCCAAAATACAAGACACATTTCACGTTTGGGTAGCGCTACAGACAAATGGTTCAATATCTATTTTTGTTTTCTCAAACAACAAGACCTAAAAGAGAACTATTTCTACAAATAGGTCTACAGGAGAGAGGATACTCAAATTTATGTTATACATCTCTTGACACAAAAAATGGGTCTTCATATATGGGTCTTCCTATACCTATTCTGTTAAAGACCCATTTTAGCTTTAGGTCTCCTATTAAAGACAACCTTACAACATGCTATTATATTTGCTCTAAAGAAAGCGTCCCAATATGTTGTGCTGAAATCAGAGAACAGAGAGTAGATGAGCAAGCCATTCATGCATCCATCGATCCGATCAGATCTCTCACGACACAGTTCCCAGATACCCGGGTCGATGAGGCTGGTCTTCGACTCTTTGCCCCAAAGGGAAGCAGAAGGAACGCCAGGGAGTAGCTTTCGACGTCCTCAGGCCTCGGCGGCCGCAAAAGTATTTTTTTAACAAAAGTTATCCTGGTAGGTTAAGTATTAACCGAGACGCATTACACTAAATTCTTCTCAACTTAATAACCAACGCACTAGCAGCTAGCGTCCAGCTAAATTGGACTAGTACCGTAGCATGTAAAGCGTCCCAATATCTATGTGCTGAGACCAGACAACATAGACTAGATGAGCGAGCGATCCATCCATCCATCCGATCTGAGATCTCTCGCGGCACACGGCACGACGGATGACCCGGATCGACGAGGCTAGTCTTTGCCTCTTTGTCCCAAAGGGAAGCAGAGCCGCAGCTTCGCTCGTCTCATTCATAACGTGTGTTGCCGGTAGCACCGTAGCAGGTAAACAAAGTGTCCCAATATGTATGTGCTGAGACCAGAGAACAGAGACTAGACGAGCGAGCGAGCGATCCATCCATCCATCCATCTGATCTGAGATCTCTCACGGCACACAGCACGCCGGATAACCTGGATCGACGAGCACCCTGTTTGCTGGATCGTTTCTGTGATTTATAAGTCGACTAATGCTGTTTTGTTGTGAGATAAAACACTACATTATAGTTGATAAGCATGACTGATACGAACAGGATAGTCTTTGACTCTTTGTCCCAGAGAGAAGCAGAGGTGCAGAGGAACAGCAGGGAGTAGCTTTCGACGTCCTCGGGCCTCGGTGGCCGCAAACGTGTGTTTTTTTAACAAAAGTTATGCTAGTAGGTTTAGTGTTAACCGAGTCGTATTACACTAGATTCTTCTCAATTTAGTAACCAACACACTAGCAGCTAGCGTCCAGCTAAATTGGACTAGTATTGGACAGACCACCAAATAAACATTTTTACGATGGCGGGCGTGGAAAGGCAGAGAAAATATCTGCAGTGACGTATGAGTGTAGGACTGATGGATTGGATCGGATAACAGCTTGGCACAGTCAGACCAGACGCCAAATTATTTCTTGCTCGAGGCGCGAACAAACCATATATAGCGATAAACGCTAAAGCTTACTGCCAGCTTAGCATGCATATCCCTTCTTCGGATCGGATCCCTTGTAGAGCCACACTGATTGGCGTCCACACTCCAGTGAGAGATGAAATTAGAATAATTAATCTAGGGTCATCACGCAAAGGTTTGTTGATGGAGCAATGTTGCGACGACAGTGATATACGTTCGCGTCCGCTAATATACCATCTGTTGTCTGTTCGGTTGGCTGGTTCGTTTTGTTGCTGGTTCGTGAAGAAGTAATGCTGGCTGGTTTGTGTGAGAGAAAAATATTATTCTAGCTGAAAATTTACGATCGTTTACGACCAGCCATAGCCAAACGAATATGGTACTTATGTGCGATCTATGATACTCCACCTCGCAGTATTCATTTGCTACGGGAGAGGGGGAAAAAAAGGTAGGCTAGGGCGAAAGATTTGTTTGGTAGCAGGCCAGCACGCGCAAACGGATAGAGACGAGGTTACCTACTACCGGCGGCTGCCCACCCAGATGAACTGGCCAGCTCCACTCGATCGTCCTATCAGCAAAGACAGATATGCATTATCGAGAAAGTGTCAACTGATAATAAAAGGAGGAATGCGCAAATAAGAAGATAAGAGCTCAAAAGTAAATCCAAAAGTTTTACGCAAGCAAAGGAATTGCAAAGAAGAAGAAGATATACTCTCTCCTTTTCAAAATATCTATCTTTTTTTTCCTTTCCGAAAAACAACTTTAATAAAATATATATTAAAAATATTACTATTTATGATACATAATTAGTATTATTAGAAAGATCTTTAAATTTAATTTTTAACAATTTTTTGAAAGATACAAATGCTACCTGTATTTTTTATAAATCGAGTTAAATTTGCTGTAGAAAAATAGAAAGATAATTTGGTACAGACGGAGTCCTAAGGAAGAAGATGATCTGACAAGGATCCCGTCACCATCGCACTCGCACCGGATCAGCGCGTGCGGGATTGCGCGGGCTGCGGCCGCCACCCGAGATATTTTCCGCTGGATAGGGACACGCCCAACCGCAACTACCCGATCCGATCAACACCAACGCCGTATGCGATACGATAACCACATGGCCTCCGGCGTTTCGATCGGCTTTCTCCTCGGACGGACACGCCTAGGCTCGGTGGTCACCTGATCGGTCTCGTCCGCCTGTCGCTTCCTGTGCAGCTATGCAGCCTGTTCGGAAGGCCCTAAACGGTCGTGAATTATTTACTGCTGGCTGTTTTGGTGTGAGAGAAAAACAATGTTTTCAGCTGAAAATTTACGATCGTTTACGACCAAACGAACAGGCGGTGAGAGGTGGTGCTCTTCCGATCGAGGTGCGAGAAGTCACGGCTCCTATAGCGACAGGACGAGGTTTGTCGCTGTTGCGGTGTCGGGCTACTGATGGTGTTGCCGGAGGGGAGAGGGAGGCCGCCATAGCTTGAGCTTCACAGGTTTTTTTTAATCTATATATAAACGAAAATGTGCGCCGCTTGTTTGGAAACAGACTCGTCTAATTGAACGTGTATCAAATAAGGGTATGCTTGTTACAACTTAGCTTCGCTAGTAAGCTGTTTTTTTTAGAAAACAGTTTTATGAACAACTTTACAGGTGAAGCTGAGCTGTTTTGGAAAAACTATTTGGCAAAACAGTTTCACCAACAACTTCATACATGGATGGGAGAGAGAAATGATGGAGAGAGCTGAGATACGCTACGTTTTCAGCTTCATCCCAACTCATGTCTTTGTGAGAGGAGGAGAAAAACAGCTTTATAGGTGAAAGCTGTTTTAGAAATGAGTGTTTGGCAGATAAAACAACTCATATTGTGAGTTGTGCCAAACATGCCCTATAGCTAGAGAGGCATCGTGCAACTATGAAATGTGGCTGTATATCCAGGTACAAAATCCAAACCAAACATGTCGCTACAGATTTCTATCAACCTCGTCAATATTTTTTTGGCCCAGACGTTCAGATGAACGCGCGTGTTCGGACGTCCGCGCCTACACTTTACCCCGTCCTCACTTCGTTTCCCGTGCACCTACGCTCTGCCTCCATGCTTGCACGCCCCGCCGTGCTTGCGTTTTGCGCGCCCACGCAGGGCACGCGCCACTCGGACGTCGCCCGCGCCGCTCACCGCGCGTGGGGACCGCTCGCGCCCCTCTGCCGTCAACGCCCACTTGGCGGCGCCCTAGCAGCTGTTGCAGGTGGCTGCGGCAGGTGGGTCTTGTTGCAACATGTGCAACACCCTATCTATTTTTGAAATACCTAGATACAACATTTGAAACATACGTCTAAAGATAGATTAAACATTTGAAACATGCGTATGAAACACTTGTAAAAACACCTGAAAACCATTGCAAAACATACGCAACATCCAGATAAAACACTTGCAACATATGTGTGAAGCATATGCAACATTTAGATAAACACATTTGCAACATGCGTCTGAAAAAACAAATGAAACATTCAAAACAGAAGCTAGTAACATACATGTACAACCATTGCAACATATGCAACATCCCGATCTATTTTTTGCAGCATCCATATGAAACATTTGTAATATACCTATAGAACATCTGAAACAGTTGAAACATACTTTTGAAACATGCGTTGTTCGCCCTTCCTCTTCTTCTTCCGGACGACGCAAAGGAGACCGAAGAACGGCTAGTTTCGGCTAGCCGGCGGCCGAGGATGGTGGCGCGACCTGGTAGCAGTCAGCTGTGCCTACGCCTGTCCTGGGCCCGGCCAGTGACAGCCCCTCCCCTGGCCGCCTGGCCACACGCGGTGGCCGGCGCCTGCGCAGCGCTTGCGGTGAGCGCGGTGGAGAAGGAGCAAGGCGGCTGCTGGCGCTCAGAGCAGTGGAGATGGAGGAGGGCGCGGGGGAGGCGGAGAGTGTGGCGTGGAGAGAAGCGGGGCTCGGTGGACGGTGGGGATATCGCGGCGTAGCGAGCGACTGGGCGAGAAGAACGAAAACTGCGTTCGTTATGTTTAGATGGACCGTGAGGGAAGCAGACATGCCTGGTTCGCAGGCCCAGGGACCCGACGTCTGAGCGGACGGAAGCCCTAACTCAAGCATTACCGATATTTAAAAAAAAAACCCATACATTTCCCGTTCTCAGAAAACAAAGGAAAAATGAGTTGATCATCCATGTCATTTTCGTCAAACTAGGATTAATCCATCGGTCGGCCTAATTAACCATTTGACATGAATAATCAAGTGGGGCCCAACACAACAACAAAGCTAACAAAAGCTGCAGTTTCCTTTTCAAATGTCACCTTCCTAAATCAACGTGAGAGTTGCAGCCGGCGGGTTGATAAAATACTAACCTGCTTTATTTACTTTGTTATGCTGTGAGCATCAGATCAGGATAGCATCAAGCCCAAATGCAGATAAGCATCCAGGTTTTTAAGCGCGGCAGGCACAGACAAGTTTTTTCCTCCGCTCAAAAGCTAACATGACACTAAGAACAAACTAAGACGACATAAATAGATTTGTCAGCAGCAGTAGATCAAGCAAGGATAAGCATGGCCTGATCTGTCATCAACGTCAGGAACAATTGAGAGCAAGGATAACTGGATAAGTGGCAAAGAACCAAACCTGACCTGATAGCTGCATTGCAGTTTTATTCTTAAATAAGAACCCTCCTTTTTTTAATGTACGCTTATTATTTCATCAAACAGCGCACCGTGTCGTCTGGATAAAGCTGAAGGATTAAATTGGGAGTACAAGCATGGATGCAGCGGCCATAGAAAAACAATGGCATACGCACCAGCTGACTGCACCGTTGGCCTGCTCTCGGCGCTTTCAGGTAAAGCTGAAGCAAGCAGCTGGGCTTCATCAGTAAGGAAAAGAATCATCTAACACTGGCATCCCCCTGCGGTCCTTCATACTTAATGTTTAAGAAGCATTGCTAATTGCTCCACTTTTGAGCATGTGTATCATTTAATAGAGATATCTTGGTGAACACCTCCCACAGGAACAACCTCTTGTCTTCCATTGTTTGCCACCAGTACCAGCACTAAAAGTACCAGATGTTTCAGCAGCCAACTACATTTGCTTGATGATCCAAAATACTGTTTCTATGTAGGATCAGGTATTATTCCTAAAATTTATACAATTTCTAGAATTCATGCATGCAATACCTGAAACGAATAACCTTTCGGTTGGATCAATGAAACTCTACTGCTATAGGTCAAGTGCAAGGTAGGAATTCCAAACAGTACAATACAAAATCACTGCTGAAAATTTTAACTTAACAAGATAGATCACGAGCAAGTTGTCTAGGAACCGAAGTTAACCTGAAAAAAAAACTGATATCACGAAAAGAAAATGTTTATAACTAGTATTCTAAGAGAATACAAGAACAAACACCCTCGAAGTGGTAACATTGAAATGTTTCTATCATGTCAACATATGATCAATATTTCTGCTTCGTAGTCTCGTAAACAAGGCTGGATTGTACAGAACAATAGGGCTATAAACAAGTAGGCACTTCATTGCGCCTCAACTCAAATCTGCTTACAATAAAAAGGGCGTACCCAGTGCAGAGAGCTCCCGCTCTGTGCGGGGTCTGGGGAAGGGTGTCAGTGGCAAGCCTTACCCTCGCCTGTGCAATGCGAGAAGACCGCGACTCGAACCCGGGACCTTCCGGTCACAGGCAGTAAGACTCTACCGCTTGCACCAGGCCCGCCCTTCAAATCTGCTTACAATATTACACCGAAATCGGAACTTGAAATGCGACAGACAGAATCAGTCACAAAAATGTTTTCAAGTACTCTATACTACACATGGCTTTCTGCATCTATCCTCAACCACCGATTCTACAACTTCTGCCGATTGGAGAAAGGCAAGAACCAAGGTTCTTTAGTATCTGATCCCTTTTGCAACCTCAAAGAAGTGAGCAACATTTTCCTCTGGAGTTCCAACCTTGATGCCATGGCCAAGGTTCAACACATGTCCAACATTGCCAGCCTTCTGCACAGTGTCGTAAATCCGCTTGCTTATAAACTCTTTGGATCCAAAAAGAACACCAGGGTCCACATTCCCTTGAACTGCTATGTTAGATCCCAATCTTTTCCTGCCCTCTGCCATATCAACTGTCCAGTCCAAGCTCACAACATCAACACCTGTCAAAGGAAGCCTCTCCAGCAAGCCCCCAGATCCACTTGCATATAGTATCAGAGGCAAGTTAGGATGTGTTTCCTTAACACTATCCACTATCTGCTTTAGATAAGGAAGGCTAAATTCCTCAAAATCAGCTGGGCTGAGTTCAGTAGCCCATGAATCAAAAATTTGGACAGCCTGCGCCCCATTGTCTGCTTGGTATTTAATATAGTTAGCCATCGATGTTGTGAACTTTTGTAGCAAATTATGTAGAATCTACAAAAACACGAAAGCAACTGTCAAGATCAAAGCTTTATAACAAGACTCAGGATGATCAAGAAAAAAATAATGAAATAATGTAACAAACTTAAAATATGCTCCGTGTTAATAAACTCTAGCAATGTCCTTTTGTATTACTCTGAGATATATATAAACCAAATTATTCAGATGTCATGCTAGAAGCCAAGCAAACTGTGTAGTATTCAGTATCCTACATGCGTTCGCAATTTTCACAAGGGATTGCGCTGAGTACAACAGTATTCATGTGGAACAAAGATCTTTTCCATACCGCTGGTTCTGAGAAGGCCATTTTCTTAATCATTGTAAAGTTCTTTGATGAACCTCCTTCCACACAATAAGATGCCAAGGTAAACGGAGCTCCAACAAAACCTAGTACAGCAGCTTCATTCTTAACCTGAGAAAGAAACAACTGAGTCACTCCTAGCAAGCAGAAAAATTATCATATGTTTGAAATGTACCTTGATACTACCTCTACATGCTGAAAACAAAATGCCATGCAAAATACCAAAAATCCAAATAAGATTAGAGAGACATGTTTTCTAGTTTCCACTCGAACTTAAAATATTTTCCAATCTTTTGAAAAAAGGAGATTAGTTATTTCAGTGTACCGTTAGTCCATTACCATGCCGTTTGACTATAAAAGGACAGCAAATATAAACTATACTTCTTTTTACTATATTTGCATTAAACAATGGTAAAAACAAAAAAAATCCCCAATGGCATTGATTTTCTTTTTATGAAAATAAATAGAAGCATCTTATTGTTGGATTCTCAGTAAGCCGAACTCCAGAATATGTCAAGCCCTATCTGAAATGCTACAATGGATTGATACTGACCAAAGAAAAGTAAAGCATATGTATAACAGCATAAAAAATTGAAATGCAACATTTTATCTTATGAGACCATTCCCATTCAAAAATCCACATGAGCTACTCAGCATGAGCAATTGCACTATCTTGATGTACTTATTCCATAATGTTTTCATGACTCTAGCATGCTCCAAGTACTGTTGCATTAAAACTTAAAAGATGAGCCCAGATTGCCTGCCACTTAAGGCGACTGATATATACTCTGTGAAACCTAGAGGATTGATTAATTATTAGAAAGTGAAAACTATGAGTTGACTACCAAAATCTTAACAGGAACAAACCTAGTTCCACATGAACATGTTTTTTAGTGACCAATTGACCACATTTTTTCAATTTTCATGTCTGGGTACTGAACAACATATACTAACCTCTTGTCGCAACAAATTCAGAGCCTGTCCCACATAAGGGACCCACTCCTCAGGAACAAATTCTCTGACTTCATTCACAGCAGCTGCTGTTCTCAAAGGATCATAGATCACTGGACCTTTTCCCTTCACAATGTCAAAAGGTATGTTCATCCCAGGAAGTGGAGTAAGGATATCCGAGAACAAGATGACCTAACAAAAGCATATGAAAAATATTAGCACAACACCAAATACCATAAATAGCAGAATAACAGATATTGCACATGGGAAATATCTCAAATTCATGTAATTGATGTAAGCTTTGTGCTAATTTCCTAACAGAGATATTAAACAACATACACAAAAGGCTAAATTATGCAGCTTACTCCGTCAGGCTTGAAAACCTTCCATGGTTGCAAAGAGATCTCAACAACTAGGTCAACATTTTCTGATCTTTCACGGAACGAAGGATATCGCTCGCAGAGCGATTGGTAGCTCTGCAGAAAATTCAAAGGGCAAGAAGTTAGTAAGGATGGATGTTCGCTATTGGTTGCACAAATAAAGCATGCCTTTAAAGAAAACATAGACCCATCCTTATTCAAGAAGCCACAGCTAACTTGACATTGTTATATTATATAAACCATGAGTCATAGACACAGAGTTACATGGTTCTGAAAAAGCGAACAAGGTCAGAACCAGGATCAATTAGATCAATATGCAATCACTAGTAAGCATCTTTATCTTTTTCTTTAAGGCTGTTGTTGTGCGTGGAGGGGAATCAGCCTTCATTTTAAACAGCAAAATGGTAGAACAACTGTGGAGTGGGCATTAATTTTGGCATTTTGCAGGGAGTTCTGAGGATGAGTTTAGTCCATTTTTCCACATGCCACTGGATCCTACATCATAGCACCCTACAAATATTCAGCATTTCCGTCCCCTTCTATGAAGAATATTGGTTAATTCTGCTAATTCTTATATAACTAATCAGTCACTTTTTGAGACTATGACTACAACACTACTAACCAATTTAGATCGTTCTTCGGGCTGGGCACTGGAATGCTAACTACAAAATGCTTAGGAGACGAACAGAGAAAATCGAATAAAATGGAAGTGGACTTGCCTTCATGTACCTCCCAGCCTGCCTCATGAGCCAGACGGGTGGCCTCTCGACCTTCCTCCCTCTGATTGCGCTCACCAGCAGCGGCTCCTCCGCCGTCCCGGGCGAGGCCTCCTCCACTACCGCCTCTGAAGCACCACCACGTCAAAGGAGCAGCTAAATTAACTTCTCAGCCCAAGCCTCCCAAACGGCGGAGCAGAAGAGAAGGAGCTTCACCTCCGACGGCGCTGCAGCGGACGGCCGAGAGCTGCCGGCGTCTGGGCCCGGCGCGGGCTGACCTGCCGCGGAAGAGGGAGGTGGACGGCAGCGAGAGCGGCGGGCACGCCGTCGCCATTGGGGCGGGATCCGAGGTGGTGCCGCGCTCGCGGTCGCGGACGGGGCAAGGGAGTCGCGGCGGCGTCGGGTCGGGACTCGGGAGGCGACGACCTGGCTTGGCTTGGCACTTTGGCAGGCTGGCTCAGCCGCTTGAGAATCGGAAGGGGATGGGAATGTGATCAGATTGGATGAGAGACGATCTGGGATGAGATGAACGGAGATTGTGGGGATGAGATGGTGGATAATAGCGTGGCCCATCGTGGCCTGGAGCGGGATGTCCGGACTCCCCAATCCCAGTTAGGCCGGCGGCTCATCTAGTATTTTCTCGGGCGGCCCGGAGGGTGGAGGCCGCCACCAAGCGTCCCGTGGTGGTGTGTCCTAGGTAGGGCACCGGGTCCTCGTAAGATCACTCTGGTTTTTTCTTTTTTAATTCTCAGTCACCCTGTTCACTTGTTGGTTTCAACCAGCCCAAACCAGCCAACCAACAGTGTTTTTCTCTCACAACAAACCAGCACCAGCCAGCCCAAACCAGCCCAGAAACCAACCAGCGAACAGGCCAAGTAACATTAAGCACTAGACTTAGGCAAATCGCCATACAAGAGTTCAGTTACAAACCCAGGGGCTTGACTCATCAACATAGTAGAGCCAGAGCCAAGAACACATGCTCCATGAGTGGCCAAACAATGCGCCACCAAGTTACATTTTCTGTTACAGACAGAGACAATACATGATACAAACTCAGATCACATGAAGTCTCTAATCTGTCTAATTAAGCAGCCAACTGGACTTCGATATATCTGCACAGATTTCAGAGATTTCAGGGCTGACGCTAAAACAGTTGCATCTGTTTCTACAACAATATTCGTCATGCCAAGTTGTGCTGCATGTTGAATCCCCTTATAGGCAGCAAGTGCTTCGGTCTGCAACGCCGACGCTACATAAACAATATTCCCAGCACCTGCAGCTAACATTTCACCATTACTATCCTATATGATGAAACCCCAACCTCCTGTTCTTGCACCATGGAAAAAGGAACCATCAATATTGATTTTGTATGTATCTTCATTAGGTGGCATCCATGAAACTTGACCATCCTTCGTGACCTGACGTACAGGTGTGCTTAGTTTTTCAAATTCTAAGAGATAATATAGGAATGAATTTTGAATTTCAGCAGCATTCAATAATTTTCTTCCATCATTAACCTTGTTTCTAGCCTACCACCATCTCCACAACAGCACTATCACCTTCAGTTATTCACTTTTGTCAAAAGTCCAGATCCTATTAATGGTTTCCTTCCCCGACTGCCATTTCTCTAGAAGAGTTCTGAGTGCTTCCATATTCATGACCCGTCACCCTGTTCGTTTGGACTTGTTTGGCTGATAAGCCATAGCTGAAAGTATTGTTGGCTGATTTGGTGTGAGAGAAAATTACTATTCGTTAGCTGAAAAAGTACGGCTTATAAGCCAAACAAGCCCAAACGAACAGGACGATAGTTTAGCATACTTACATTTAAAAAATAGATGGCCGCAATCTTCATCCAATCTTTTGCATATTGGGCATAATGTATCAGTTTTGGCCCCTTGGCGGACCAAATTCCTTTTTACTGGGAAGCTATTATGGGCAAATTTCCATATAAACATTCAAACTTTGTTGGGAACTTTAAGTTGTCATATCTTGTGCCATTGAAAATCTCTGTTACCGCATTCTTTACTCCCCGATGTAGAATCATCCCTCCCAGCAAGAGCATCTCTCCTCGCCACTGCCACCTTATATGTTGATTTCACTGAGAATATGCCTTTTGCATCAGGATGCCAAGCAGGCCAATCTTTCATGTCCACATCAACATGAATTCGTAGAATCTCGTTGGCATCTTTTGGCCAGAATATATCCTAAACAAGTTGTGCATCCCAATCGCCAGTTACTGGATTAATGAGCTCGCTCACTCTTGTTAGCAAAGAGGCATTTCTAGGTGTTATCGGCTTTCTAGTTGTGTCGCTTGGCAACCAAGGATCCTCCTATATTCTCACCTTCTCTCTATTCCCAATACGCCAGATTAGACCTTCCTTAATCAGAGCTGCCCCTTTTAAGATGCTCCTCCAAGAATACGATATTCCTTCCCGAGGAACACACTGAAGAATGTGAGTGTGGGAAGTACTTTGCTTTCAAAACTTGCCCACAAAGTGTGTCGGGGTTAGTGAGCAAACGCCATGCTTGCCGACTCAACATAGCCATATCGAAAAGATGTAGATCTCTAAAGCCGAGGCCTCCATTTTTCTTTGATCTTGTAAGTTTTCCCCAGCTTATCCGGTGGATCTTATTCATTTTATCTTGCTGACTCCACTAATATCTTCCAATCATCGTATTCAGCTCGTCACAAAGACCTTTTGTAAGATCAAAGCATGACATTGCATAGGTAGGGATGGACTGTGCAACAACCTTCAAAAGTATCTCCTTCCTGCCATCCTTGAATTCTAGTCCAGATCTTCTTCTTAATATAGTCAAAGGTCTTCTTTCTTGATATTCCAACTGATACCGATAGACCCAGGTATTTTTCTCCACTAACTTCTTTGTCAATAGACAGACTCAATTTCATTTGATTCTTTATTGCTTGGCTTGTGTTCGGGCTGAACTTAATGGATGATTTGTCTTTGTTTATCACTTGTCCAGATGCCCTCTCATACACGTCCAAAGTATGTACCAATTCCCGTGCACCATCTTCTCCTGCCTTCATTAAAATCAAAGAATCATCAGCAAAGAATAGGTGGTTCACTCTTGGAGCCTCTCGGCATATCCTAATGCCTTCTATCTTCCCATCCCTCTCAGCTCTTTGCAACATTGCTGATAACGCTTCTGCACACAAAATGAATAAATAAGGTGAAAGGGGGTCACCTTGTCTTAGGCCCCTTTGAGGGAAAATACGGTGGGTGTATGAGTCATTAAATTTTTAATTTTGTAGGAAACCAAAGACATTTCATGATTAACTGGATCCACCCCTCATTGAAGCCCATTTTCCTCATCATATTTTCTAGGAAAACCCATTCAACCCTATCGTAGGCTTTGCTCATGTCAAGTTTAATAGCAACCTGCCCTCCACCCCCTTTCCTTCTAGATTTGAGATGGTGTATTAGTTCATAAGCAAGCAGGACATTATCAGTGATTAATCTGCCTAGAACAAAGGCACTTTGAGATGGGGATATAATTTCAGGAAGGATCTTTTTCAGCCTATTTGCCAGAACTTTTGAAATAAGCTTATAGAGCACGTTGCATAAACTGATAGGTCTTAAGTCATTTATTTTCTGAGGGAAATTCGTTTTTGGGATCAGCACAATTATTGTATCATTCCATCCCTCAGGCATAGGACCCCCATTCAATACATTAAGAAACTCTTGTTTCACATTATCCCCAATTAAGGACCAGAATTTTTTTATAAAAAATAGAGGGCATACCATCAGCTCCTGGCGCCTTTAGGTCCCCTATGCTTTCAAGTGCTTGCCAAATTTCATCACTGTTGAACGGTGCAACTAGTCCCTCGTTCATCTCCCGTGTGACTCTAGGGTCAACACAATTTAGAACCTCCTCCATAGATGTTCCTGCTTGTGACATGAAAAGTTTTTGATAGTGGTTAGCAATATAATTCTTCAATTGCTCGCCTGCCACCACACCACCATTGTCATCCCTCAACTGTTTAATATAATTCTTCCTTTTGCGTTTGGAGGCGAAGGCATGAAAAAATTTGGTATTCCGATCCCCTTTAATCAACCATGTGCTATGAGCCCGCTGCTTCCAATAAATATTTTGCTGGTCCTGCAAGCGCTCAAGCTTATAACATAAGAGATGCTCCTGGTTTACTACTTCTTGGGATATATTTTGCCTTCGACAATTCTCTAGTTCCTTTTTAACTTTACTTATTATTGTCTCCATCTCTCCAAGGACATATCTATCCCACTCAACCTAATGAGCTCCTGCTGGTTTTCTCGTTTGAAGATGATGCTGCTCGCGTCTACAACGAAGGGCGGCCTATCCACCTACCACTGATCACGCTACATTGCCGACGTTGGTCTTGGTTCAAGAATGCTACTGGTGTCACCCTGCCCCAGCTCGTCGATGTCGAGATACGCGGCGTCCCAGCTCATGTGTGGGAGTTGGAGACGACGGAACATCTCCTGGATGAGTGGTGTTGGATCAGTGCTCTGCACCCTGACACGATTGATCGTCGGGATTACTCTACCTTCCGGCTTTCTGCATGGTGTTTGCAACCTGAGAAGATTCCGGCCGCCATGGAGCTCGTCGTTGTGGAACCGCCAGCTCCGATTGTTGAAGACCCTCCGCTGAAGCGTGCTCTGTCCTATGATGTTGTGATTACGGTGGCGCCGGTTGCTGGGCGAGTGTCGGGCGTGGGTGCGCCTCCGTCTCCGCCTCCGGCCGGGCATGGTGAAGGTCGTCGCCGGCGACGAGTCTCTCGATCTCTGGGGTCTTCTCCGCGATGCTCGGGGGACGGATCCCCTTCCCGAGGTGTTGCACCTCGTTTCCTACGACACGCGGGCCCTAAGAGTGTTGGCTACGGCACGGGAGTCCAGGAGGCGCTCGCCGGCGCTGCACGCTCGGTGCCCCAGGAGGCGGCGGCTGTGATTGCTCCTACTTCCCCATGCAACTAGCCAATTACTGAGGAAAACTTTGATGACTTGGTGGCCGTCGCCATTATTCCGTCCTCGGGTGTTGAGGACGCGATCCTGGGGGATCCGGAGAAGGATGTGGACCGGCTGTTTGTTAACGAGCCCCCCAAGCAACAGTCGCCTGGTGTTTCTAGAACAAATGGGCCGGCCCAGGTTGCTAAAGTGGCCCCTCTGTTGGGCCCCAACTCAGTGTCTCCAATGCATCTTGTTCCTCTGGATGATACCGTTATGATCACTGTTGGAGTCTCGTCGGCAGTCCGCAGCAGTCTGGATCATCAGATCAACTCCTTGGTGATTGCCTCCGGTGCAGCTCCTTCAATCAAGACCTACTTCCGTCGTGGCAAGA